TCTTTCACTTGTAAAATGGGGGTAATATTACTTAATTCATAGGGTGGGTTTGAGTTCTTATGAGTCAGAATCAACTCAATGCCAGTAGGTTTAGTGCATCTGAAATGTCTTGCTTATAGTCAGTACTGAGTAAAGGTTAATTTAAAAAGAAATGGAAAAAGGCTCGTTGAAGTGATTCTTCATATCCCTACCTGTACAGCAGGATCATCAGTGTGCAGTTGTAGAGTTTTTTTAAAAAACCATATATGTGGCATTCCTTGGTCTTTTCTCACCACTGGACCTTGTTGCAGCCCCTGATAGTTTAGATCATTACGTGATGTCTGGTTTTGCCTTTTGTGTTTGGTGTCTGAAAATAGTCTTGGAATTCCTGAAACAACCAGGCAATCCCTAAGCCTGTGCAAAATGAGTTGGGAGACCGCAATCCACCCTGCAACAGACCTCAGAAAGGAAGTGGGCTTGATTCAGTCAGACATGGGACCCTGGACCTTGGAACCTCCTCTTTGGGGTTGCTTCTTGGATGGTGAGAACATCTGTGCATAGGAAGGGTGTGGTATGGCTCTGGGAACAGTGGAGGCATGTGTGCAGGAACTCTCCCAGACCTTTCTTTGCTTATATTTTTTCAGGTTGTGATAAATTTAGTAACAGAGTGAAGGTAGTCGTATCCATGAATTTTGTGAGCTGCTATTTTATAGAATTAATAAATCCACCTGGGCTATGAGATTCTGATGTGGTTTGGGGTGGCTCATTCAGAGGAGGGCTGCAAGGTAGCTGAGAACTAGCTTTGGATGGCTGGTGGACACAGAGGGGCGGTATAAGCAATTGATTTGTGAAGACCCAGCTCTGGGTACCTGGGTGACAGCTTCACAGGCAGCCATGAAGGAGGACAGAGTCCTAGCTTACGGCCTAGCTTCAGGACACCAGATGAAGAGAAATGGGAGCTGGCTGTTCTTCAGTGGTGCAGGGAATTGTTCAAACTCCTGAACCTATCACTGGTAACTCGTAGCCTTGCCCCAGGTGGGCCAGAGACGCTTTGAGCTGGTGCAAGGTGGCCAGGGATGAATTCTGACCTAACTCTAGGTGTTTAGGGTGAGGGAGGAAGAGCCACAAAAGCTGGTGACAAGGAAAGGAGATGTAAAAAGATGAAGTCTGGGTCTACTTCCAGGTGGTGATTTGAATTCAAGTTGATTCTTGCCACACATTTAGCAATGACGGTGGGATTTGCCCACCATGGCCCTTTAAAAAGACCCAAATACAATACACTGGTATGCTACTAATTGCACTATTAAAAGGTTAGCTAGGTCATCCTGATGGGCAACCAGGATTGAAAACTACTGGCTTAAAACATCTACAATAAAAATAGGAAATTTCAAATGAGGTCCATGCTAATTTTCTCTCGCTTGATTTGAATCTTGCCCTCTTCCAGAGAAGGTTACTTACTGATCATTGTCTCAGACAATTAAGTTGAAGGCTTTCCCAAGCTCTGAAACGCAAGTAATTTATTTCATTGCTATGCTAACCTATTATTTATGAAACAGTAATAGTAGTTGTGATGTTTTGTTCTGCAGAAGACTATCAGGTCCCACTTTTCAGCACTGGATTGTCGTCCATGGGGAACTAGCAAGCTCCACAGCTGTGTGTTTGTAAGGGACCAGAGAGAAGTGTGGGTTGTGGGTGTGTGCACCCAGCAGCAAACAGTTACCTCATCCTCACTGCCATTGAGTCGTTGCCCACTCATAGTGACCCTATAGAGTGGGTAGAACTGTCCCTGTGAGTTTCCGAGACTGTAACTCTGTATGAAAGTAGAAAGCCCTGTCTTTCTCCCAAGGAGCGTTTGGTGGTTTTGAAATACTGACCTTGCTATCAGCAGCTGTATTAGTCTGGGTACTTTAGAGAAACAAATCCACAGAAACTCATGAATAAGAGAGAGTTTTATATAAAGGTTAAGTG